AAGATATTTAGTTATCTGTTCCTTGATAATCTTTTCCATTACTTTACATGGAACTGAAGTGATAGACACTGGTCTGTAATTAGCGGCATCAAGACGACTCCCTTTTTTAAACAATGGTGTAACATGTGACTGCTTCCAGGCTAAAGGTGTTAAGCCTTCAGACAGTGCTTTATTGTAAATTAATGTTAGAGGGTAAGTCATTTGAGCTGCACATTTTTTATGTACCTTTGGACTAATGTTATCAACACCAATAGATTTGTTCGGGTTCAAACCATTCAAATAGGCTAGCGTTGCTTCAAAACTTATTATTACATCGCCTAAGTCTTCTTGATTATGTCTTCTCTCAAAAACCGGTAACTGATCATTTATGCTATCATCAACAAAAACTGATTTAAAGTGTTCGTTAAGTCTGTTTGCGATATGTATTGCCTCTGTTAACGTTTCACCTTTTGCATCTGATATAGCGCCAATAGATACATGTACGTTCTGTTGCGCTTTTGCATAAGCATACTTATTTTATTATAAATTTATTCTCATAAAAAAAAAAAAAAAAATTAAAAATTTTAATTATTTAAAAAAAAACTTGTTTTCAGTTGTGTGCCGACTTAAAAAAAGACTTTCAGGTAAGAATCTATTCTGTTTTTTTATATTCTGTATTTCGTACATAATAATTTCTAGGGTAGTCCCTAAAATGAAGAGTTTTTAGAAATTATCATTCCTGTTTTGAGTTTTTAGAAAGTATCATTCCCGCGGTAGACTTTTTCTTAAGTAGAATTAAATTCTGAGTGAAATGGCGACACGCAGAATGTCGGCCGAACAATACCTGCTTAGAATTGATGTCTTAAGTCCATTTGAGATATCAGTTATAATCTATAGGGTGTATGTTATTGTTGGGTTTTCCCCACATTTATATCGATATAAAATAAGGAAGTGTCCTACCTATAGTATTCGTAAAAAAAACTTTTTCTAATAGATAATTTAATTTTGAATTGATTTAGCACACTCCGCGGGTGTAAAAATGCATCGTTATTGTTGTAAAAACGTTTTTTTTTGCATTTTAATTAGGTTTTTGTTTTATAACTCAGCAGGTATTGGTTGGGCAACAATTTGCGCGTCGCCCATTCTACTCAGGATTCAATTCTAGATAAGAAAAAGTTTATCCGCGGGTGTGATAATTAATTTTAAAAAATATCTGCATTTAAGGGACTATTTTTTATTAATTAATCATTTTAATTCTTGTTATTAAATAGTAAAGACAATTTAATATTTGTTTTTAAATAATAAAGACATCAGCTAATTTTCGTAGCAATTTGAAACGTTTAACAATAGTGTTTGGAATAATCATTTATGTAATAAGGTACCATAAAATGTCGATTTCGTAGTGAAACAAAGGTTCACCTCCTATATCATCAAAAATCTTTTCAGATACCTTACGAATACTATTTTAATTTTTTTTTGTTTGAAAAAAGGTAATCTTTAAATTTATATATATATAAATATATATATATATATATATATATATATATATATATATATATATATATATATATATATATATATATATATATATATATATATATATATATATATATATATATATATATATATATATGTAATATATATATATATATATATATATATATATATATATATATATATATATATATATATATATATATATATATATATATATATATATATATATATATATATAAAAGTAGGCTTACCAAAATTTGGGTACCTGTAATAAGGTTTCATGAAAGTCTATATAAAAAAAGAAGTGCTCCATTCCTCAGCTGCTTAAAGGCAATCTAAAGCAAAAAAACAAAATCAAAATATTTTTTTATTATTTGTTAAATCTAACAAATAATAAAAAAATAGAAATATGAGAAAAAAACTATTCACTGTTTTTATGCGAGTTACACTTTTCAGTAGAATGTACTTTTTCTAGCAAGTTATAATTTTTTCAAATTTTCTCATAAAAAAGTGAGCATGTAATGCTAAAGCTCAACTTGCAATTCAGCAATGCACGTGAACTCCTTCAAAAGAATTCGGTCATCTGAACAAATATTTTTTATGATTAAAAAAATACGCTCTACAGGTGCAGATGCTCCTGGCAAACATTAAAGGTACTCAATAACTTTTACCAGATTAGGTTCACTAATGTCTTTTTATTGAAAATGCTTGAATAATTGAATCCATTTGTCAACATAAGCGATTTGGATTTTTAATGAACTCCATTCTTCCTTTTTTGATGCAAAAAATGTTTTTACAATTGACATCTCATCAAAAAGACTGTCAATATTAATTTTTTTGTTGATCATCTGAACCATAAATATTGTTTATAGCTTCAGCAGATTGTTCAATATCCTCTCATTTTAGTACGTGATAAAGTCCAACCCATGCAAATATCTCAGCCCCATCAAAACTATTTTTGCACAGTTCAATATTTATATATATATAATACATAATATATAATACATTGTTCATAAAAGAAATTTACATCTGTTATAAATATATTAACACCCTGGGAACTCAATTTTCTAGGCAACTGTTTTGCTCCTTGTGGGTTACTATTCATTTTTTCCTCAAGATTAGATTTTAATTTTTTTAGTTCCAAAGTAAGGTCTGTTGCATTTTATTGACTTTTTTCCATAACTAATACAGTTTTGTTAAAATTATTTAGCTGATCATGCATAAACCAGAAATATAGCTCACCTGTTTCACTTTCAAAAAATACTTGCAAAGCACATGGACAATTTTCATGAGAAACAAAGTATGATTTCCAGGTTTCAAACATATACAAAATCTTTCAACTGCATATAACAGAAAAAGAAATCTAGTTCTACCATGGTGGATTATTTTTCTATATTCCACACTTACAAAATTACAAAATTTTTTTAACTTAATCACTCGAACTGTGTAGACATAAAAATACTTATATATTTTCACAACAAGAGCTTTAAGTTAAACTACTTTAAGTTAAACAGCTACACATACACTAATAAAGTCAACGGTTAGCGTTATTCAAGATGATTACAAAATAAGACTTTGAATTCCTGATAAAATGACCTAGAAAGTAATATGGATTTCGATGTCTGCTTTTTTTCAAGATTCAAAATCATGAATTTTGATTGAGACAAAATGAGACAAATAATTCATTTTTTCCAAAAACAGGACTCGTTGAGACGCTGGGACAAATGACATGAAAACCGGGACAATCCCGGTCAATATATATGCTTACATATGGTAAACATATATAAAAGTATATATATATATATATATATATATATATATATATATATATATATATAATATATATATATATATATATATATATATATATATATATATATATATATATATATATATATATATATATATATATGACAACGGTCTTAGTAATGTTATTATCAGCCTTTTCCCAATAAATTATAGAGTTATTAACTCTATTAAACAAGTTTAATTGTAAAGTTTAATACTAATTTTTTTTACAGCTGACTGAGATGTATAAAAATTGTACAAAATTTTCAATATACAGAATCATCACACATTTTTTTTTATTATCTACAAATTTCAATTGCATGACTCTTTTGGATTATTCTGTTTCAAGAGACATACGGACAGGTAAACTGAATAAAATAAATTATTGATAAACAAAATAAGATGTTTAAATTTAAAAAATTACACACATATATATATATATATATATATATATATATATATATATATATATATATATATATAAATATATATATATATATATATATATATATATATATATATATATATATATATATATAAATTATGTTAGTGTATTCTACAAATAAGTGCTCAATGTTCTTAAAGAACAGAGCAATAACAAATTAGTAAAAACACTATATAGGATTAATAAATTAGTAAAAACACTATATAGGATTAATAAATCAGTAAAAACACTAAATAAGATCATCAGGAAGATCAGTATGATCATCAGCTTTCTGATGATCCTACTGATGGAGAAACAAACTGTAGAAGAAAATAAAAATTAGATAAGTGTTTTTACTAATATATATATATATATATATATATATATATAATATATATATATATATATATATATATATATATATATATATATATATATATATAAATATATATATATATATATATATATATATATATATATATATATATATATATATATATATATATATATATATATATATATATATATATATATATAGAGGGTAAAGCGGGGCATTAAGCTCCATTTACTTTGTTGATAAAATAAAATGCCTAACGTTATTGTATTAAGAGAAAGGGACATTAAATTTTACATCATAGATACTAAATAACCAATCAGGGAATCTTTCTCAACAATACTTGGGCTTCTAACCAATGGCATTGATATTTAATTAGAATTTATAGATGAGTGATATTTCCATCTAGTTTTCTGTTTCCTTCAAACTTGTTGAAAAACTTCCGTTAATAATAGTGTGTATTTGTTTTGACTTAAAATAAAAGTACATATAAATGCGTGTTTGTTTAGACTAAACATAAACAAGTTAGTATAAACTTAGTAAGTACTATTTTTAACTTTGTAACTATCTGTGTATGTAATCAATGAGTTAAAATACTAATATTTCTAGAGCAAGGTAAGGAAAATTTTAGCAAAGTAAAATCGCAGTTAGATGAATGTCTAAGAAATTGTTTATAAATAGCTCTAAAATTCACTTTATTACTAAATTTCCATAAAATATTTTGAATAGAATACATTTCTAAGAGAAATTTGATTCTTTTAATTATTAATTAGTTTAATTAGTTTATAAAAATTAATGTTTTAATTAGCAGGGGCTTAATGCCTTCAAATGCCAAAAAGGTGATTAAAACAACCAAATAAAATTGAAAATAAAACCAATGTTTTAATTTCCAAAACATTACACAGATATAGTTTAAATTGAAAACAAAAGTCATTTATTTTTAGAAATAGTTTAACTGTTTTAAATATAGTTTTGATAATGGATCTTATTGCTATGGTTCGAACATACAAAAAGAGAAAGGAACAAGAAAGAAAGTCATATGCAACTAGCCAAGCAATGATAGATGTCTACAATTCTGTCATGTGTAAGCAGATGTCTGCCAACCATGCTTCCATGCATTATGGAGTTGATAAAAAGGCTCTTTTAAGAAGAGTACGAGGGGAAATACAAGTAAATTCTCATCCACTCGAGCGAACTGTTTTAACATCTAAGCAAGAAGAAGAACTGGCAGACTGCCTTATTGTGTTAGCTGAATGGGGTTGGGGTTTTAGTAAAGAGGAGGTAAAAGACAAAATACAGGAATTTGTAAAAGAAAATGGTATTGATATTTCTTTCATCGATGGTCGATTAAGTAAGGACTGGTTGTGTGGCTTTTTGCAATGCCATCTGAAAGTAATCCCAAGAAAAACAGAACACCTCAGCAATGCGAGAGCCAAGGCTGAAGACCATGAGGTCATTAGGAAATGGTTTCAGCTGGTCCAGAAAACTCTACAAGTTGCTGGAATTATCTGCCTACCAAGTCAAATATTTACCTGCAATCAAAAAGGTTTTGTCACTGACCCAAAAACCCAAGTTGTGTTACCAGAAAAAGGTGCTACTAGAGTGACCCAGTGCATTGGTGGCTCAGGACGCGAGCAAATAACTGTAAATTTTGCATGCTCTGCAAGCGGCCAGATACTGCCACCTTATGTTGTGTACAAAGGAAAAAATTTGTATTGTCGGGGTGGCTCTGATGGAGCTGTTTATATGACAAGTAAGAAGGGCTGGATGGAATCACCTTAGTTTTTGGATTGGTTTCACAATATTTTTCTTAAGAACACAAAACATGTTGAAAGCCACAAAAGAATCCTAATATTTAATGGACATGCCTTATATGTGAGCTTGCCTCTTATTGAATCAACAGAAAATAACAATATCATCATACTACGTTTGCCCTCTCATCTAACCCATCTTCTCCAACCTCTGGATACATCAGTTTTTCGACTTGTGAAGAGCAAATGGCAAAGCCTGCTATTGAAATATGCAAGAACGCACTATGTGCCAGTATCAAAGAACCATTTCCCTGGTCTGCTACACACTCTTTTCCAAAGTTCATTCACGATAGAACAAGTTAAAAGTGGTTTCAAGGGAACTGACATTTTCCCATTTAACAAGGATGCCATTGACATAAGCTCCTTTAAGCAGTGTCCTTAAGTTATGATGTCTACAAAAAATGATACAGAAAAACCCACATTGCCCACTCCAACTTTGCCATGCTCTACAAAAAGAACTTCCCATCACTAGTGCTCACAATGCTTCTGCATTAACATCACTACTATGTGTATCATATTCAACATCATTGTCAACTGCTGCATCATCAACATAATTATCATATTTATCTTCAGCACATGCTTCAGCACCTGCTGCAACACCTGCTTCAAAAATTGCAGGACCTTCAAACATCATTGACATTTCAGCACCTGCAGGACTGCAAACATCATTGTCTACTTCATCATCAGGAAAGTCTTCTATTAGAGACTTTTTTCTCAAAGAACTTCAGCCTAGATTTGCCCAAACTTCAGGACTTCGCAGGTTGGTTAGAGTCTCCAGGTTTCGCTATGGAGAAAGCCTAACAGGTGATAAATGTTTGAAGCGATTGAGAGATAAAGCAGCAAAGAAAGATAACACTCCAAGAGAAAAGACTATCAGAAAAAAAAATCTTCCAGCTAGAGATGATAGGGACAGTAATGAGGAGGACGATATTGTGTGCCTAAAGTGTAATATTTATGGAGGTCACGGAGAACAGTGGGTCTGCTGTGACTTATGTGATGGTTGGTATCATGTTAAATGCACAGAAGTTCCAGATGGGGTTGATATTGAAGCCATGGAATGGATCTGTGAAATTTGCCAACAAACAATGTAAAAATATAAGTTTAACATCTGGAGCTTATTGCCCCCATATGTTATATATATATATATATATATATATATATATATATATATATATATATATATATATATATATATATATATATATATATATATATATGCATATTTATATCTATATACACAGCAGAATGTGTGGGTACAATGAGTGAATTTCACTCAAGTGCCAATATTTTATTGAATACTTATTTTTTTTTGAGAATGTAAAAATATATAAATTTATAAGAATAATTAAACAAAATTTGATATACTTATTTTATATAGGAATAAGTATATATTAATTTATAGTAAAAACTATTTTAACTTAAAAAATTTTTTTTAAATTTTTAAAAATTTATTTAGCGTGTATTAGTGTACAAGTTTAAAAATGTTTTAATTATTTAAGAATAAAATTAATCATGCATGTGTATTTTTCTTCTAACTAATCATTGACTTTGTTTAGAATTACTAGATAAAAGGTTACTCAAAAAACTTGTTTGTTTGTTTGGGTTTTGGTAGTAATCAACAAATATCTGTTCGATGGCAGAAAACAAAATCAAATAGTTTTGGAGTTGGAAATGGTGTTTGTCAAGGAAGTATATTATTGTCACCTTTATTTAACTTTTACATAGACAATTTGATTTTATCAATCTCAAACCTGCGTATTGGATGTAATATAGATGGCATTTTCATGTATGTGTTTGCTTATGCTGATGATATGGTTCTAATTGCACCCTCTTGGTTTTCTCTTCAAAAACTAATTAGCTTTACAAATAAGGAATCTACTTTAATTAACATGTCCTTTAATACCAAGAAAACTTTATGTATGGTGTTTAATCCAACTCAAAAATCAAAAATTATATCAAACTACTTCCCAGAATTATAACAGGCTGTAAAATTGCTTTTGTTGAATCTTTTAAATAACTTGGTCATATAATTAAAAATGTATAACATATGATCTTAATATAACCAAGGAGGTAAAGTGTCTTTACACGCATATAAATATTCTAATTAGGTGCTTTCATTTATACTTTACCAGAGTAAAGGTTAAACTGTTTAAATCAAATTGCATTTGTTTATATGGTGCTCCTCTGTGGCAAAATTATAATGATAAAACAATAACATGCCTTCAGTATTTCTACAACAAATGTGCTAAATTGTTTTTTGATTACAAAAAGTATGATAGTATATCTCTCATGCTTTTAGAACACAGATTACCATCTTTTTATTCAATTATCTTAAACAACAGACATGCTTTTCGTAATCAGTTGATGGCTTGTACCTTGAATAACTCTATAATTCCATGCATTCACTTTATCAAATTTTAAAATAATTTTTTCTTTTTTAAAACTATGGACCTGGCACTTAAGTTGTACATGCCTGTTGTCTGAAATATATTTATAATAATAATAATAGTAATAATAATAATAGCAATAATAATAGCAATAATAATAATAGTAATAATAATAATAATAATAATAATAATAATAATAATAATAATAATAATAATAATAATAATATACATAACATATATATATTTATATACATAATATATATATATATATATATATATATATATATATATATATATATATATATATATATATATATATATATATATATATATATATATATATATATATATATATATATATATATATATATATATATATATATATATACACTTAGGTCGTTAGAGAAGTTTGTAGAACTTTATCTATAAAGTTACAATAAGACAGGAAATAATTAAATGTTTATATATCATCTTAAACTGTGTTTAATTATTAACATTTTAAGTACATGTTGAATTATTTTGAATGTTTATTAAAAAAGTTATTTAAATTTTATTATATACGTTTGAAAGTAAAAATTTTAAAATGAAAAAATTTGAATATCGAACATATATTAAAACCCATGCTCTACTTAGAGTTTCAGCGCAAGCCATAACCAATTAATTAGTTTTAGTTCATGGTGATCAAGCTTTAAAATATAGTACAGTTGCCAAGTGGGCTACTTTATTTAAATATGGTAGAGAGAGTCTTGAAGATGATCCTTGCTCAGGGCACCCTCAAACCACCTATGCAGCTGAGAATATTGAACATGTGCGAGCCGTTATTGAAGAAAATCCGCATGCAACATATAATATAATTAATTCCTGACATCGATTAATCTTTGACAATCAACAAACTCATTCACAAAGCACTTAAAAAAAGAAAACTAACATCATGTTGGATACCTCACAAGCTAACCAATCAAAATCAAAAGAATAGAGTTGAGCATGTAAGGAAAATTGAGCCCTCTTTAGAAACGACCCATAGAGGTTATGTGATATTGTTACAGGGAATTAGTCGTGGTTTTATTTGAGACAAGTTGGACACTAGTTGGGTTGGTAAAGGTGAAAGTCCAAGAACTATAGTAAGATGCGATAGGTTTCAGCTGAAAAGCATGTTCTACATCTTCTTCAAAACAACAGGTGTTGTTCATTTGGGTTATGTTGAAAAGGGAGACACCATTACTAGCGAATATTATAAAAAATTACAAAATAAATAAACTAAGACCTGAAATCACAATTTCAAATTTCTCCATGATAACGCTCAACCTCATGTATCTCACACCATCACAAATTGTCCTAATCAAGATGGAATTACAATAATTTGCCACCCATCATACTCACCAGATTTAGCTCCATCTGATTATAGGCTATTCAACTTGGTAAAAAAAATCTTGATGATGATACTAACGTCAAAAGCCACAAAACCTGCATAACGAAGCCACTTGAAAGTATACCCAAAGAAGAGTATAAAAAAACGTTTCAAAAATGGCTTGATAGGATACAACTTTGTATAGATAATGATGAACATAATTTTGAACATTTAGTAAAATAAAATTAAAAAAAACTCTTTTTTTTTTTTTTTTATAGGGGAGTTCTACAAACCTTCTTATTGACCTAAGTATATATATATATATAATATATATATATATATATATATATATATATATATATATATATATATATATATATATATATATATATATATATATATATATATATATATATATATATATATATATATATATATATATAAAATAGGTTATGTTAAGCCTGCTCCACACTGACCATTTCATATTTATTTTTTATATGGTCCATTTATCTTAATAATTTTTTGTAAATGGTAGAAAATAATCAATTTAAAAATTAAAGATTGATACTAAATGTTGGCTTTAAGTAAAATTCTAATAATTAATGGGGTTGGCTTTAATTAAAATTATAATAATAAATTAGTTTCTCTGACCAGATTTTCCTACGGCTGGGTTCGATAAAAATAGCTGGGGTCTGGATCTGTGTTTGTGACTGGGACTGCATAAACATTGATATATTCTAAAATATATTTTATTATTTGAAATTTATGTTATATTTTTATATATACAGGGCTAGGTAGGAATTGCGAACGATTGCATACACCTGCCTTCACACCTGTGTAAGTAAGTTTACACAGGTGAAATAAAGCTCATGCAAATACCAAGGCTCAATTTAATTTTTTATAAAGTCCCGGACAAAATGTCCGATGAAAATGTGTTTGGGTCGGACAGTGTCTGATCAAATTTTTTAGATATAATATTTATGGTTTTACGGAACCAAGTTATGCAATCGAAATCTTTGTCATGTTATTAAGTTTATTTAACTTTAGTCATTTTAAATATTTTATTGGAGAATTTTGCTTTTTTTTAATAAAATAGTTCCAATTTAATATTGCATGTTTTTTTAGATAGACACGAACTGCATGCTGTAACTGACAACGTTTTTTTTTTTATTCTTTACAACTTGACAACGTTGTTTTGATGCTTTAACTATTTAATAGCAATAAAAAAAAATTGTTACATTACAAATAACTTTTAATCATTGATCTTTTTTAAAGTTTTTATTTTACGCGAAGGCGTAAAATAAAAACTTTAGCCAGACAATGTCCGATGTTCAAATGTTGAATTGAGCCCTGAATATACAATTCTTTTTTTTAAACAGCAAAGTTTAATGTTTTTTAAAATAGTAACAAACATCTTTTAAAATAAAATATTGCTTTAATAAGTATTTTAGCGACATTTCTTGTACATAAAGTTAAAATAAGTTGTAAAACATCAAAACAGCATTGTACTAACTAATTTTTCTTTTTTGTGATATTTTGTGATATTGCATAATTATATAATACTTTAATAAGTATTATATAATTATGCAATAATTGAAAAAAAGCATTAAAAATGTTATGTAAAAAAATTTGTAATTTAATATTTTTTAAAAGTGTTTTGAAATGATGCAAAAACAATTTTAAAAGTATCAAACTCATTCAAGTTTTAATTACTAAAGTCATTTCTCTTAATTATTTGCTCTCTTAGTTAGAGAGCAAATAATTGCTGCTTTGTAGTGCATTTTTAGGCAAAGTCTAGGAGAAAAAAACTCCAACTTTAAAGTCCCTGCATTTGGGGCTCTTGATTGAGCAAAGGCTAAAGATAGTGTATTGATAAAAGAACTCATCTTCGGCAGAAGTTAACTGCATCCAGCTACTGTCTTGTAGAAGGCCTCTTAGGCAAAATTTTAGGGATAATTAGGAATAATTCTGTTAATAATTTTAGGAATAATTCTGTTAATAATTCAGAATAATTCTGTATAACCTGTGTTATATTGTTTCCTGCCTAGGATAATGAATGCTGGATCTTCTTGATTCAAATCATAGGTTTTTGCTTGTGCCTTCTTGATAGTACAATTCTTTCAACTCTTTCTATTACCTCCTAATGTGTTTTGCAGTCCTATTTATGGTTGTCAGCTTTGGTAACTTCTGTGAAAAAACTCATTCCGTTGTCTACCCATAGCATATAATAATGCACTTGTCTAATTCTAAACAAACCAACTTGGAATAGTGCTAGCGAACTATTTGTAAGGTATGGTGGCCATTGACTTCATTTTGTCATGCAACAATATTCTCCTTTATTATTGTTGCAGAACAGTAAGAACCCCATTATAAAGTCTTTTGTAAATTCTGACAGGTTCTTGACATCTCCATTATTATATATATATAGAGCAGAGTTATACTTATGATACCTTTTTTGTTTATACCTAGCAAATATTTAGTCAAAAAAAATGTCTTTTAGATGTATAAAAAACGTCTAACATGTCTAAAAGACATTTAAGACGTCTTTTTTAGACTAAATGTTTGCTGGGTATTAAGTATATTGTAATTATTTTATTCTCTTTAATTTACTTACTGTACCCTTGAGCCTGTAAATAATAAAATAAGTTAGGATGGCCATTGGTCCTCGAAAACCTGGAAATGCCCTGGAATTTGATAGATCTAGAAAAGTCCTGGAAAAACACACATTTTAACAATAAATCCTGGAAACCTTTGAACTCTTTTCTGAAATGGTTTAATATTTTGTTATCAATTTTTTATCTTTTACAGAAATATTATGAATATTGTGTAGCTTTCTATTGAATTAAATAATTATGTATTTTCTGAAATGCAAAAATTTTTTTGTTAACTATTACTGTCAGTATTATTATCTACTAATTAGAAAATATAATATATAACTAATATAATGCTGAAGACAACAAAATGTCATTTTCAAACAGAATAACTATACAACAAAAAGTATTTTTCTTGGGTAAAATTTTGTACTTTAAATTCTAAAAAAGCAAGATGTAGTTAATGCACAACGGGTATTGGTATTTCTAACATGGGAGTATCTGTCTTGGATTCTTATCTAACTGGTAAGAAGCATAAGTTTAATGCAAAGAAACATAATGCAGCAGATATAATTTTTATTGGTAGTTTATAAAATTTTTATTTTAATTTAAGTTTTTTTACTTTTATTTAAATATATGTTTTCCTGAATTTCGGAAAGCTTGTAGTAAATTAATTGGCTGTGTTCTTTACAGTATAGTTGTAACTTTTTTACATTTTTTGTTCTTAGATTTTACTATAGAAAATCATATGGCAGCGAAGCAGCTATCAGAATATAATATGGACCTTAAATGTACTAATGTCACATTTTTCTTTAAGAGCAAGCTTAAATTTAAATGAAATATTCAAATTCATGTTCTCTGACAGCACAATAGCATCAAAGCAATACATTAAGCAAAACAAAATGTGGCTACCTTATTAATTTTGGATTAGCACCATACTATCATGACCAGCTTTTCTATAATGTCAGAGCATCACCAATCTTTGTTTTGTCATATGATGAGAGTATTAATGTTATCTTTAAAAATGAACAAATGGATTTCCGAGTTAGATACTGGAGTTTGAGTTCTAATGTTGTAAAAGCTAAATATATTGATTCAAAATTTCTCAGACCCCCTAATTCACAGAATTTATTTGACAAACTCATTGAAGTGACAGAGGTGTTTGATCTTGGGAAACTAATTCAAGTATCAATGGATGGTCCTAATGTTAATGGGGAGGTTCTGAAAATGTTAGACTGGAAAAATAATATTGTGGTATAGTTATTATGGAAAGTTGCAGTTTGCACATTCTTCATGGAGCCTTACAGACAGCAATAAATTCCCAATAGTGGGAACTAGCAAAAATATTTTGTGATTTTTAGATTTAAATTTCTTTTCAAAGATTCACCTGCTAAAATAGATGAGTACATTAGAGTTTGAGAATCTGAACTGTTTGCTCTACCCTAAGTATGCATTAATTCAAAAAAATTTAGGAAAACCAAAAATAATTTATCATATATATATATATATATATATATATATATATATATATATATATATATATATATATATATATATATATATATATATATATATATATATATATATATATATATATATATATATATATATATATATATATATATATATATATATGTATATATATATATATATATATATATATATATATATATATATATATATATATATACATATATATATATATATATGTTTTAGGGGAGTGTGAGCGAGAACGAGAGCTTTAGCTCTTGTTCACGCTCACACTCCCCTAAAACAGTTTCCAGAAGCAATTTACGGCTCTCGCAAAAGTATAACTTTTCTCACGAAAGTACAAATATAGTTGTAACTAAAAAAAAAAAGACAATACTATTTAAAAAAAAATTAATTGCATAATATATTGCAATTGTTTTTAAAAAGCACGGTTGTTTAAGGAGGAGCAGCTCGCACAGCTCCCCAAGTTCGTTTTAGGAGAGCTTTTTTCTGCTCTGGTGCTCATTTATTCTCGCCGAGGCCTGTATATATATATAATATATATATATATATATATATTTATATATATAAATATATACATATATATATATATATATATATATATATATATATATATATATATATATATATATATATATATATATATATATATATACATATATATATATATATATATATATTATATATATATATAGTCTTGATAAGTAGTTGAAAAGTTTCTCCCATAAATTTTAGTTTTAAAAAGAGCGTTAATAAACCAGAAATAGTTTAAAAACTTAAATAATTTTTTTTTTTAATTAAATGATAGACTGCCTGCCCTAACCAAACCCTCAGTCGATGCAGCAGCACTCTGTTGCAAGTCAGGCTATAAGATAGTCGATGTAGCAACATTCTGTTGTGAGTCAGGCTATAAGATAGTCAATGTAGCAACGCTCCGCGTATGTTTTAAAAATATATTTTAATAAAACAAAAATATCGTTAATTAAAAAAATTTTCTAGTCTTTATTATTGCAGTTTTTTAAAAAACAATAAAAGTTAATGTACTTCTGCATTATTTTAATTGCTTTGACATTTCGACGACAATAAAATGTAGCTTAATTTTTGAAGTAGCAAAATTGTTGTTGAAAGAGACTTTTTTTACAGTCTTTTACAGTCTGTTTCGACTACGATATAAGGATATATATATATTTTTTTATAAATATAATTATTTGTGTACAAACTAATAATAACTTTATATATATATACGCATAGTCTATTACTTTTCATGATTGATTATTTTAGTTTATAACACTATTAGTTGTGCTATTGGTTGGTTAGAGCATGGAAACTATTGCTATTTTTTTCAAAGTGAAAAAAAAAACTGGAAAGATTCTCTTTCTTTTTGTGAGAATCGACAAGCAAGCTTGTTAAGTTTAGGAGATATAGAAGAAAGTTTATTTATCATTAACAACACACAAGACCATTATTACTGGATTGGTATATTGCTATTTAAATACTTCTTTTTATGTAAAGTTGTTGTGGTTACGTATTTTTATGTTTTGTATTGTTTTTGTAATTTAATTACATACTTTTATTTGATAAAGGTCTCAATGATATTCAAGTAGAGGGAACTTTTAATTGGTCTGATAATACAACGTCACTGTTTGTTAATTGGAAATTAAAAAGCAAAGAACCAAATGGTGGTATAAAGGAAAACTGTGTATTAATTGACTCAAACGGGCTATGGATCGACTATTCTTGCAACGAGATTTTTATGTCCATTTGTAAATTGAAAAAGGGTAATTCATTTTTTTATAGTTTCACCAAATAAATATATATAAATATATTTATATAAAACGAATCATTTATGAAATAATTTTTTTTTACAATTAGATAATGTAGAAACTTTTAGGCTTTTATTATAAATGTTGATACCATATAGTTTTAAAGTTATGATATCAGAAAATACAAAACAACTTATTTTTGATTTGGTGGAACTGTTTTATCATTTTAATGAGGTGTGTTGAAGAAACATTTAAATTATGTTGCAAATGACATTGAGAAAAAGTTATTACAAACAAGCGGTATATGGTGTAGTGGTAGAGCGCTCGCTTCATAAACGAGTGGTTCCGAGTTCGATCCCCACCACGTCCCTGGTAGTACCGCGCTCAACTCGTTTCTCCGCACAGCAGCCTTGCTCATCAAGGTTCGTGTTTCGGAGTTATAGAGTTGAGAGAGGGTTATAACCACAAATAAGTAGCCTCCTCGTCTGTAGTGGCCTTCTCGGCCTTGAGGAGGTGAATTAAAATTAAAAAAAAAAAAAAAGTATTTAAAAAATAAAGTATTGAATTTTCAGCATGACAAATATAACATAATAGATAAAAAAACTACATTGATCAGCATTCAGACATAAGCAGCAGTTTACAAATCCAGAGTAATCATCATAAGGGAAAAACTTAATGAAAAACAAACATGAAAACTTAATGAAATAGAAACACAGAATATTGTAAGGGAGTTACTGCATGTAAACAATTTTAAATTTAATAACACAATACCAATGGCAAAAGATGACACTATAGGTTAATATTTTATAAGCAAAACTTAAAAGTATAAATAATACTATCTAAGAAAAACTTGTGACAATCCTAATGTCTAATTTTATCTAAGAGTTACTTCCCCCTGTAGATAGTTTAACAAGATTTGGCACAGTCACACCTACAGATGTGTTAAAAATAACCATCAATGTGTTAATCATCAGATGTGTTAAAAAGATCCAATCACTCAAACAAAACAGCACTCCTAATGTTACAATATGAGATCCTGTCAAACATTAATGATACTTTGACCACTATTCTCCTCTCTCTGGTTATATCTGCAGCATTTGATACAAGCAATAACAACATAGCAATTGCCCATATTAGGGATAAATTCGGTGTCACAGATATTTCACTACAATGGCTAACATAATACTTGCACTTTAAAATTTTTTTGTCTCTATGGGATCAACAAAATCTAGATCGATAGCAAGTTCAACAATAGTACTTCAGGATAGTGATTAGGCTTTATTTTATATTTTCCATGTTTGTTTTACACCTATATTGTTTTATAGCTGAATTTGGTACAAACCATTATCAATATGTTGTTGATACCCAACTATATACTGTCATCATCCCAGGCAATTATAACATCAACAAAATCACTGAATACCCAATTGCAGTTACAAACTTGTTTCTAAAAAATGGATTTCTACTTCACTAAAATAAAACAGAAACATTTTTATATTTCCTAAATCCAAATCTTATTTGGATTTAGGAAATGGTTGTTAAATTACATTTTTTGGAACTTCAGTAAATTATGATAAAAATCTTTTGAGTCATCCTAGATTTAATAAGTTGTTAAAGCCCCGATCCTGGCTAAATATGGGGCTTTTTATAACTGCAGCCCTGGCCCCAGCTAAATTATAAAATTAGTATGGCTTAAAAGCTAGGATATTTTTTTTAAACATAAATATACTTTTGCAAAGTTTGCTAGCGTTATAGATGTAATAATAGGTCTTTAACAATATTTATTTGCTTCATTTTTAAAGTGTATGTGTGTATATATATACCTCCAAAGCATAATTATAGTCTGCAAAAGTCTCACATTATTTTCTCTGACAATGATTTACTTACCTTAGAGCAAAAATAAAATATAAAAGTCAATCAAATAATATAAAAAGCTAATAGATGTGTAGAAGTTTTAATAATATAGTTATTTATTTTCATTTCGTATAACTAATATTACTATTATTAGTATTTTTTCAATAATATTCTTATTGTTAGTAGTATTGCTTTTAATAATAGAAATAAAAGATAAAGATGAAAATGATTAATGAAAAGAAGAATTGATATTATATATCAACCCCAGTCAAACCTGGTTGCCACATCTGCCATCATGTCTCACCAAAGAAGTTGCAAGCATAATTGATTGTGGCAATGTTAACTCTTGAAATGATTACTGGAACAGTCTTTTATCATGTGTTTACCAAAAAATCTGAAAAATACTCCAACAAATTCAAAATAGCTTATCTTGCATTGTTTCTTGTTCTACTTTCAATTTAAAATCAGAAAACTTGCTAAAATCATTTTATTGGTTACCAGTTTATCAAAGAATAATCTATAATATATCAAGGCTGGAAACAACCAGTCTGACCTTATTCTCGTTTAACTGATCGACCAGTCAAACAAGAATAAGGTTTTGGTTGATGGAACTGAAGATTGTCAGAGAGTTTTTATTCTCAAGGCATGATGTTGATCATCAACTCAAATGCTAATAATAGAGAGAAGACTGATCAGACCGCAGGTCTAGAGAGGTCAGAATGTTCTCCAGAGTTTTTAAAAATTAAAACCAGCAGGCAAAAAAATGAGATTCAGTCAACAACATAATAATTTAGAGGGAGTTGAAGAGAACTCTTCAAAATACCTTTGTAATACTATGACAGAAATGTTGTTTGAACCACAAGCCATAGAAGGGTTTAATTAAGAAACAACTTTGCCACCAGAACCTGAAATGATTTAAATGTCTAACAATCAGTTAACCTGTTTAACTGGAATGGCAGGAAGAATATGGTCATTAGTTTCAAAAGTCTAATTAGTAGAAAAGTTCTTTGCAATAAGTTCTTCCTTATCTTTGGAGAGGTAATAAGATCAAACTTATGAGTTAGTTAGGAATTTTTGACTTACCTTTTTCTTTGTTTTTAACACTGTTGAAGATTTTTTAATAGTCTCCAGAGTCTAATTCTCTAAACTATTTAATAAATGCTTGACTAAGTCTTGTTTTCCTTCCTACTGGAAAATGGCATCTGTTGCTCAGAATGTTCAACAGAGTTTCAAAAACTCCAGTGAACATTCTGAGCCTTCCAATATCATCCAATTAGTCTTCTTTCTTTTATTAGCAAGGTCTTTGAGTCTTTAAAAAATAAATTTTTAAAAGACTCAAATAACTTAATGTCGGACAATCTATACTGTTTTTGGTCTTCTTGTTCTACAGCTAGCAAGTCTGCTGTTACTGAGAGATTTTATCATGTATTTTATACTGAGAGATTTTATCGAGTATTGTGAATTAAATGGAGGTGGAGAAACTAGAGCTATTGCTCTTGACATATCTATGGCTTTCAACAAAGTTAGGCATGCTGGCCATTATTATAAGCTTGTTTCATATGCTGTATCTGGAAAAGTTTTTTGAGATTATCAAATTGTTTCTTTTTTACTGCTTTATTAAAGTCATCCTTGAAGGCTAATACTCTTCTTTATTTCTAGTAACTTTTGGGGTACCTCAAGGTTATATCCTTGGTCCAGTTTTGTTTCTCATCTACATTAATAATCTTCCCAAGAACCTTACATTTAAAGTATCTCTTTTTGCTGATGACTCAACTTTATGCTCCTGTCTTGACAAAAGGTCTTCTCTTTTTGATCGCTTAAAACAGGCAGCCGATCTTGAATCTGATCTCACTTCTGTAACAGATTGAAGCTCACAGTGGCATTTTAACTCCAACAAAACATAGTTATTTACTGCAAACAACTATCGCAGGACTGTCAACATTCCTATACTAATAAATAGCAACCTTCTCTCTGAGTCTCCTTTTTTATGTCTTCTTGGATTATCATTTACTGCTGACCTTTCATGGACCATATAAACAATCAATTGGTAAATTAGCATCTGCTAAGGTTGCTTCTTTTTAGCCGATAAGCAAAAAATATTGTGAAAAAATGCTCAAGACTTAAAAGATTTTTAATAAAATGTTATTTAGCATTAATATAAAAGTATTCATTTTTATCAAAAAAAATCATTTATAAAATTGTTATGAAAATAAGCTTCTTTTGAGACCTAGGTTAATATACTTTTGGTACAATATTAGGGATTTTATTCCAAATTTTAAAGATTTGAACCCAAATATCTTTACAGTTTGGTGTGATGGTAAAAATGAGACTGTTGCATATTTAAAATCAAAATAAGAAATGCTCTACGAAAAATGTATTGTTTGCTAGGTGAGTTAATGTGTAAGTATACACCAAACCCAAGCATGTGACTATTGGAGTATTTGCGAATGAAATGATAGTAGTCATCAACACGGAGTCCCGAACAAGAAGCAGCTAAATTCAAATTAGTCTTACAAATAGAAAACAAGTCTGGTGAATTTTGCAAAAAGTAAGATTCACCTGATGAAAAATTTGTTCAAAGACAACAAATATTGTAAAAGATATATATTTAAACAGTTAAACAGTTAGGTGGTGTTGATGGTTTTTTATGTTTAATATTTTTGGTATTCCATTAACAGATCATAATCAGTCTCTCTGAATGCTACCACAGAATTCAGAAAACTTACTACCAGCCAACCTCAGAAATATAAAATTGAGTTTTAGAAATGTTCCCTCATTAGGAAGAGTTGCATAGTAATTATCAAAGAGACACAAGCAAAAATCTATTAGTAGAGTCAAGAAGATCCGGTATTAATTATTCTAGGCTGGAAACAATGCAACAGAAGTTTACATCTACACTAGGCTAATAGATGAAGAAGTGGTGCAAGGCTGTTCAACAAAATTGTTTTGCTTACCCCTGAAACTTTTGCCTAGGTGGCCTTACTAGACAGTAGCTTGATGCAGTTACATCTTTTCAAGATGAGTATTTTTATTGAGACACTATCTTTAGCCTTTACTCAACCATGAGCCCCAAGACAAGAGAATTTTAAGTCTGGGTATATTTCTCTTAGTCTTTGTCTAGAAAAGCAAATCCTACAAGGCAGCAGGACATATAAAGAAAA